ACTTTGTGTCGTCTTTTTTATCACTGCCAATGCCCTACCGATTTTATTATCGTACAATCTTTACACGAATTACATACATGACCGACTCATTACCCCACATGGTGTTTGTTGTTTTTGTGCCAATTTGTTGTATATTTACTATGCTTCTTGACGCTGAATATGTAATTTATTTGACTCTACAGACATGCTATAAACAAATCCAGACGGTTCTTGCATTATTTTGAGTTGGCATCGGTTGGTATGACCACGCCATTAGTACGTTACTATGGCAACTGAACTGTAAAATAGTCGTGACATGTACCAAGGCGTTTTACGCAATACTTCTCGATTGCACGTTCAGTTGTGGGTAAGGGGTTCCGGAATAAATGCATTCACACATCAAATACTCTCATTAAAAATACAAATATCAGGGTTTAGTTCATACAAAATGTGCTTTAGGCTGTCCTGGTTTAAGACATCTTCTGAACGTCCCTTGTGGAACGCAATTGAAAATCAGGAAAAGGACAAAAACAATTATTTTAGGGGTTTGGGGTGTTCTTTATGGGTAGAGTGAATGGCGTTGCACCATGTTATTCATGTCGCTTATGTAAGTACACCTTGTTCACTTTCTTCACCTTTCCTTTATCATGTCACGTCTATTTTCATTCAGCTAACGTCCGGATTCCGTTCGAAATGATTAGATCCTATTTATTACCTTCGTGGAATTTAATGCAATTTAGTGGAACACTAGCCTCTAAAAATCACACGGGCAATTTACTCTGTACCTTGATATAATTCCTTTATGATATAATCTCCTGAACGTTTTGTAGAAAGTAAGATTTTTAAGGGTTTTTCTCCTCTCACCATCTGTGCTGCCGAGACTGATGCTTGGCTCTCGTCCAATGCTGCGGCCTATTTTCAGTGGCGGAATGTCATAAATCTGGAGTGCAGAATCCAGCCTTTGCACACACTCTGAAAGATCAAGGAAATGACTTCCATGCGCAATACGAAGTAGTGCGTTAATCATAGAACTTTGACATTTCCACGGCGTTATCATCGCAATAATGACGTGCCAGCGGCACCCTACGGTCACAACACCGCCGCGATTTTGGACCACCTTCAAAATTCGCCATTTATTGTTTACGCCTGTATCTGTATTTCTTATTTTGCTTTTAATGTTTCGCGAAATCATAAAATCGCCTTTGGCTCAGCTAGAATATAAATAATTCCTCACATAATAAGTAACTCATTAAACCTATTTCAGTGAAATTCGCACAGGAGGAAACTATAAACACTCAATTTGAATTTCCGGTGGAAACTAAAACAATACTATTTCACCCTCTGCATAGTTTCAAGGACAGATATTCACTACTGTGGAGAAAGTAAACATTTGCAGAAATAAACTGTTTTTGAACAAGGTTTGTGTATGTTTGGCACCACAATTAAATACAATGCGCTCGCTTTCTCTGGAACATACTAGGAATCCTCTCGAAGACAACATCCGCTATTCCTTTTCCTCCCCCTCCTCTCTCTCTCTCTCTCTCTCTCTCTCTCTCTCTCTCTCTCTCTCTCTCTCTCTCTCTCTCTCTCTCTCTCTCTCTCGCGCGTTCTTTCATTCATTCTATTGCGTGCTTTTTCTTTCTATCACTCTGTGTATGGACTAAAATCATTCTATTAAGTGCTTTTATTTAAATTCATTAATATAAAACGATTACCAAGTAAGTACTTTATGTTGAGCAAATCTTACTCAAGGAGTGCATCTGTCATAATTTGTTATCATCACGGCATTTTCAACCATTCCGACAGACGCCCGTCGTTAAAGACAGAGCACAGGCGTGCACTCCAGATCAGTCTTTGGCAAAGAGTACCTTGTTGACTGACAGAGGGGTTGCTACTTTATCAAACTGGCATACCGTGATAAATATGACCGACACTGTAAGACTGTTTACCACACGACTACTTTTGACTGTACTCTCAGGTATTCTTGTTACCAAACACCATCGGGCGTGGGTGGTTGTTTGAACAACAGTGCCATAAAGTAAGACGGTCTGTCTTTCTCTTTGACAGAAACTGTCGTAGCGACGGTTCCGATATAAACTTGCCCATAAAAGCATACTATTATTAAAATAAACACGGCCATTTCATCTCACAGTACCAAGGGCGTTGTAAACAGTCCTCTCTTGAAAGTTGATTAAAAGCATACATCATCTTTCTTCTCATAAACAATAAATGAAGCTGACAAAATATGTTGCTTGATCAATTATACACAAAGTTTGTGTAGGAATTAACGTGTGTAGGTATGTAGCTGTTGGTATACAAGGGAGGGAGCGATTGGGCTTCAACGAAGTTTTTCATGATAACGAATGTATCCCCGAAATAAAATAGCTTGATGTGAAGGGCTGGTTTAGTGCCAGGCATATCAGAGAGTGATAATTCACTATCAGATTCATCGGGGTAGAGATATACCGAATTAAAACAATCTGGTACACCAATATAAAACATTTTTTTCGGAGACACGTAAAGTTGCTTCAAGACCCAAACTTGAAAAGGTGAAAATAATCTGAAATGACACTTCTTCTAAAAATGATGTATTTCTTCCACTGCCGCAATATCAGGCAAATCTGATATGAAGGCGATACTGCCTGTCTAGATAATCTATTCTCTTGGAAATTGGAGATTAAGCAAATTTCCACGCTTACACGTTTATGTGAGATCCAGTAAAAAGTTTTCGGCTGAGGTTCCTTTGAACGCTCTTCTCTACACGTGCGTGCTCAAAAGGGTCATGAGGTGAATTACTTTCAGTTTAAAAGTAGTGTCTCAAATACATTAGTGAGTGAGTCAGTTGTGTTTAACGCCGCTTTTAACAGTTTTCCACGACGTGTCAGCTTAATGTGGGAGGAAAGCCCCAAGTGATGCAGGTCTTAGACGTTTACCACTTAAGTGAAACCCATGAGCACGGGTATGGTGCTGACAAACCTAGAAACATAATCGGGGCGAACCGGGATTCGAACCCACAATCATAGGTTTCTGGCGTGCCCAAGGGACGCAACTCTGCACAGCGAATTGCGGCACCTTAGACGACTGGGCCACCCGTGCCCCCCTAAAAGACATTAGCTGGAAACCTATTAGAGTTTATTTATGGATGGTTATTTCAAGACGTTTCAAGACGTTTCGTGGTAAATACATGATGTGAGATTCGTCGTATCATGGTTTGGGCTACGTTTTAAATGACACAGGTTACAAATAGACGTTTAGGCCGACGATGGAGTAAGACAGAAAGAATAATTAATTTTTATTTGTGACATCGGTAGGTGAACCTTAGATTTGCGTATTTCAACTATATCACTGCCACATCAGTTTAATCTATCATTAATACTGAAAAATGTAGGGCCACCTCGTTGATCAGAGTTGTTTCCCTCAATCGTACCAGGATGCGATGGTCATGATCCTTTGTTTGTCAGCACCATACTGTGCATGAAGTACTGTTCAAAGCGGCGTAAAACACAACTAATCCACACCAGTGAATAGGGAATAAATGATTGTATAAATAGCCATTTTTCAATTAGTTCAATAAATATTTACTTTAAAAAATATAGAAAATGCACACCTGTCTGCCTGATTATATCTTCACTAGGATATAACATATTAACAACATTATTGTCTAAGTGAGATCGGTGTGGTATTACACCGCTTTTAGCAATATTCCAGCAACATGACGTGTGATACACGGGGCTTTATAACCATGTTGGGAATCGAACGCGGGTCTTCTGTGGGACGAACGCGTGGCTTAACCACAAGGCTATGCCACCGACCCATATATTATAAGTAGTGTTCATTAAGCCCAATGTACCCAGCAATTCATCACATTGAGAAGGCTAAACCTGATCTGGTTCTTCCTTAGACATTTGCATCGGATGGTCCTTGAGGTGTCTACGGTGTACAATCAGATGCAGCTGATGGCGTGCATGCCGCTGCCACCAGTACATGAGCGGAGGCTGTTTAGATTGGCAAAGACACTTGAATTTACTGGCACACATGCTTGAGGTGAACCTGTTGGCAGATATAACAAAGTTTATTTCGGAGTCATCCTCTTTGTCCTTGCAAGTACTTGACATGCTAACCTACATTTTATTGAGATATCTTGATGAGCAAATATAGGCTTTACAGACAAAGCCAATCATTGTGAACTGAGTCTTGCTGTAATATGGTGTACTATATGCACACATCAGCACCATAAATGTCCAAAGTCCAAAGGAGCACAATCATATCACACAAAACACTGTTCTGAAAGGTATAATATGAAAAGCAAGTCGAATGTAGAATGTTCGTGTTGGGTGTTGTCCCTTGTTCGGTGTATACATCCGTCTTGAATGATTACATCTCGTATAACTCCAGAAACCACTGGTCCATGCGCTTAAACAGAAGTTGATCCCAGCAATGGTGCCTTTAAATTAGTTCACAACATACCGATCCGATTTTACACACTGTCGCATCTATTTCAATACATCTTTATTTTTCTTTGAACAAGTTGGTTCGAATCCCGATTCGACCCGATCATGTTTCTAGGTTTGCCAGCACCATACACGTGCTCGTGAGTTTTGCCGAAGTGGTAAACGACTTAAAGGGGCTTTCCTCCCACATTAGGCTGACACGCCCTGGTATAACTGACATACTGTTCAAGGCAGCGTTAAACGTATCTCACGCACAATTGATATATGTGCTTGCTTTCAATGTATGTTCTCTTTTATTGACGGCTTTTTGGTACTGCGTAAAGTGTATTTCTTTTCGTAATTGTTTAGATGTCTTTTATTTGTAGCCATAGATTGTACTACTCCACATTAGACAGGGATAGTTTTATTTCCCCATGATACACAAAAATTATTTTCATATGTCAAGTGTATATTTACATAGAATGACATATCTGATTAACCCTATCAAAAGATGAGTAGTATAGGTAAAGGAAACATACATTAAAAGTCCTATTTCTGCGCCTATCCTCAGTGTTTTTGTTTCTGTTGCAGCTGTATGATATGGGCACAAGTAAAGGTAGCGGTCGGAGCTACACGCCTCAATCATACGGCAACACTGGGTACGGAGGAACTTCCGGTTACAGAGGAGGAAATGCCTACCAACCCCCAAACAGAAGCTACAGCTATGAACCTCCCAAATACAGCTCGCCAGTATCTGTGACGGACAAAGTAAACAAGTTTTCGAACATGGAACCCAAATATTCATATGGTGGTGACCGTTACCCGTCCGTAGATCGCAGCACGAGCAGCAGGGATCGGTACCCCTCACTTGATCGTCACTCCACTAGAAGTGGCTATTTGTCGGACTATGGCGGCAGCAACCCTCGTTCCTACGGGTCCTGGGACAGAGCTTCAACACGCTCTAGTAAGAGTTACGGCGCCGGTAGCCGGGAGACGTCTCCCGTCAGTACAAAGTCGTCCAGGTATGACTATAGCAGCAGTGCTTCTCCCTACTCTACGTATTCGTACAAGAGTGGGTCGGACGCGTCGCCTGTGACACGGCGGTATGAGCGACAGTCTTCCCGAGGCAACGACACTCAAAGTCGTCCTTCCGCAGACACCAAACCGACAAGCAAGCAGGCCAGCAAACCCTCGAAACAGTCGGCGTATGTGCCCAAGAGGCGGCCTAGAGAGTCCTCAGTGTCAGATTCGGATGACAGTGCTCCCGAGGCTGAGAAGGCCAACCAGTCAGTCAGGTAAATCAACTCGTTGAAATGCAGGGCTTTGATGAAGCTTTTACAAATGTAAATGGTTGGTGGTAAGAATATGTGTGTTGTATGAGGTTGGGGAGTAGTTTGCTATCATAACCTGGCCAACCATAATGGCTACTATTATTAATCATCTGTAGCCTAAAGTATGTAATATCTGACATTTATTAAGTAGAGACGCGCATCTGTCAACTTTACAAAATCAGTGGACCCGTGAGGATCCGGGGTAGGATAGGTCTTCAGCAACCCATGCTTGCCGTAAAAGGCGACTATGCTTGTCGTAAGAGGCGACTAACGGGATCCCAATTACGTGGATCGATGCTCATGATATCAATCACTGGAATGTCTGGTCCAGACTCGATTATTAACAGACCGCCGTCATATAGCTGGAATATTGCTGAGTGCGGCGTTAAACAAAAAAAATCAGTGTCGTTGATTAAATAAAACAATTTCACATTAATGTGAACCAATTTGAAAATGTGAATAAATATTTGTTCATTAGGATGTGATTCTTATATAGGAACCATTTTTTCGAGAACATTTAAATCATTCAAATGATATGGGGACCTGTATTGTAATTGTTGCAGATACATGATATGCAGGGGTACTTCGCCAATGCCAGAAGGGGAAATACATAAAAAGGAAGCCAAGGAGCCCAAAAAGGATGCTCCTTCTCGAACCAAGAGGATCAAATGTCCTGTGAGGGAGACTCGAAGAGGCAGACAGAGCAAGACGGACCACCCCAACACAGTCGACTGTGCAACACAGACAAATATGGACCAGCAGAACACCAAGAGGTCCCGCGGATTAGGTGGAGGAGGAGGAGGATACAGAAGTAGCGTTGGCAGCGGCGGGGGAGGTGGGGGATCAGGATTGGGTCCAGGAGAAACCTTCTATAAATATCGCGAAAAGTTTCTTCCAGGGACAAGTTACACCCCAAAAAAATCAACGTATGATCCGACTCCAAAGAAGTCCTATTATAGGGATGAGGTTCAAGATCCACCATCTGAGAAATCTTGGCGTCAAGCTGTTTATGGTGAAGTTCCACGAACATCCAGGAGGGAAGAACCCGATGCTGAATCTATCGGGGTGGAAGATGAAGATGACAGAAGCAGCAGAAAGGGCAGGAGGCGTGAACCACGAACAAGCACTCCAAATACAGATTATAACAGTGCTGCTGATGATCGTCATTCCCGACACAAGCCTCCTAGTAGATCGTCCTCGAGAGAGGACATACTGGATGACAAACCAAGGAGGAAGAGGCATTCAAGCAAGGAACTTCTTGACTGCGATCAGCCTCCTCTAACTCCAGAGAACCTGTCCCTAAGGGAAAGTATTGAGAAGGTTCATCAGTGGAAGCAGAATCTGCCTTCGCCATCGAGTGCATACTACACAGAACCTGATGGTGCTCCTAATGATATGCGAAGACACCCTGGGGTGGGCGCTGAGAGTAATTTCAACAGGAACGACAGACAATATGGCCACCAGGACTCGATGAGAGCCATGATTGACGATTCTGAGGTTCCCTACTCGAGAGATGGTTCTCCATCTCGTCAGAAACGAAGACAAAGGAAGAACCTCTCCAGGGGAGGATCTAACGACAGTATCCTTGACGATGATGAATACCAAGGACACATGCCTAACAAGGACTTCAGAAAGTCGAATCTAAACAAGTCGAGTCTGCAGAAGCCTGATAAGTACCGCGACAATGAAGTATTTGAAGGAGAAGACAGACGAGGCCATATCCGCAATGACAACTACGGATTGCAGAGGAGATCTGGTAGTTCTTCAGAAACTACTGAAAACAGACTGAAGAGAGACAGTTCAAAGGAGAGCATCCTTGACGACAGACGAAAGTCTAGAAGGGAGAAGTGGGAGACTGACGGCAGTCATGCACACGGCCATGCAAGTGATAGTGCGGGATCTCAGTTTGGATTCAACAGAGAGGAATCTCCGAACAGAGGAATCTTCGGCCGGTCCTCCAAGTCTAACAGATCAAGCAGACAAAGCTCACGCGAGGATATGTTGGAGGACAGAGGTAGACACGCTCAACTTGCTCGACAACAATCGGTGGAGCAATACTTGTCTCCTTATGACAGAATGAGACCAAACCATCTTGCCGTGTCTAATGAAAGCCTGTCCAAGATGAGCAGTGGTTCGGGCTTTGATGACCCCAATTTGCAGCGAATGTCAAATTCTGTGTCTCAACATTCGATCGCCTCTATGACGAGTCAGGGAACTCTCCCTGACATTGTGCCACACAGCCCTGAGTCGGAAATGGGCAAATCGAAGTCTTCTCCGGATGGTCAGAAGAAACCTTACAAGGGGGCCCGATCTGGCTACATCAGCGCGGTACAAGACATTGATAGTCTCCTGGACGACGACGAGAGGCGACGACAGGCGGACATCATGGATTCTCCAGTACCAAGAACATCACACCACCCTCTGCAACCTTCTCCACTCTCGCCAACAGGATACGAGGATGATCCGTTCACGAAGCGTAGGCCAAACAGCTACTCCTTTGAAGCTCAGCAAGATGGTCGATCCTCTGGATCCAAGATGCGGGCGTCAAAGTCTCATGATGACAAGCTCATCGACATCGAAGATGAACGCATTCAGGCTGAACGGTCTCCCCAACAGGCAGCACCCCCTAAAACCCGTGGTCCTCCTTCAGCAACAGCTAAGCAAATGGCGCAGATCTTGACTCAGAAGAAGGGCCTGGTAGCCATAGCAGACTTCCTGAGTCTCTGTGAGAAGCCACCGGCACCCCGCATCATCAAGATTCCGGGAGCATCTGACGAAGATGACAGAAACTTCAAAGGATACAACTCCGCCTCAGACATGTTGGAACACCTCGGAGTTGACGTTAAGAAGGTAGGCACATCGTTGTTTCCTGTTCCATAAATGTTCCATCGCGCAATTCATGCTTTTATAATCTCTCAAAACTCACAACAGCAGGCTCGTGTTATCTCCAAGTCGGTTTATTTCAAAAGATTTCATCAATGAACGCCCGAACAGTACGTATTTACTCAAATAATCACTCCTTTTCAAACGTCTGTCATCAGTCCCAACGACTTTGAGATTAGCCGAGTTCACTGTACTTAGATATGCAACTAAACCTTTGTATTCTTATGGAGAAGTTCATGGAAACCCACAATGATTACAACAAAGGTGAGTGACTTTGTACTATCCGCAGCACAACGGACCAGCAATGTGTGAGATTATTACGGGCCGAAAAGAACGAGCTATGACAAGGGGATCGGACATCATGATGCCAGATTCCATGTTTTGGACGTCAACATGGGCATAGTTATTACAACCTAAAGCCAATATCAAAGTTATGAACCCTTTGTCAATTTTAACACGAGTAAGTCGTTGACCCGTGAAACTTTCTTGGGAGATGTAGGTATGAGTGAGTGCTTGAGTGAGTGAGTGAGTGAGTGAGTGAGTGAATGCCCCACCAGCGTCTGTGACTGACTGACTAACTGACTACCCCGCCGGCCTCTCTGATACAGACATTTGGTGACAATTCATCTTGGGTCACTGATCTGCTGACAATTTATTTCCCAGAAGGTTAAAACAATTGGTCGTTTCTGGCAAGTTGTTCGAAGTAAAAACTTTACTATTATTCACAGTATAACACTTCAGTATAACTAATTTTCCCAAACTTTGAAATTGGTTAACTTTAGTAGGCCTCCATCATATCTCGCCCTTTGGAAAACTTTAAAAGGGTACGAACTTTAAAAGGGTATGTAGTCATGCAATCTCTACTGACCAACATTTGGACATTCAAAGACATTGTCTCTTCACCTGCAACAGGATGCTGCATCCACTGGTCGCACAGTAGGTCCGGGTGCGGAGCCAATTTTTGGTTAATGAGTAGAAAAAGGTATATCGTTGAATGTATTGTATTCAAAAACTTTAAGATGGAATAGGTGTTGGGACGATGAAAAGAGTTCAAAGTAAAGACATTTACCGGAAAATCCTATAGTAATTTATTGTAGAATGCGTGTTGATGGAGGAATTAAGTTGCGTTAGTTGTGCAACGATTTCATCAAAGTTCAGAAAGTACAACTAAATTCCTCGTTGTTCCTCTGAATGCATATGGCTAAAACACATGCTTTAATACAATCGGTGTGAAATGCGCTGGCTCTTCAGCAGTCTCATAAATATATGCCCTAAATCATCAAATACCCAGACAAATTACCACAAATGTACTCACGCTTTGCGGTCCGTGAAATTTGGACGCCGACTGTGGTCGACAAGCCGGGGCATGAAGCAATCAAAACTCGTCATATTTCTGGTCAAAGTTGGTCGACCCTTTAATCTTTGATATTTGAAAATGGGCTTGACATTTGACAGAATGCGCGTCTATCTGACATAGGGGATAATAGCCAGGGTAATGTGAGACTATAGAACCATCAGTATAGCGCGTCGCATGTCCCCAGTGATGACAGTCTACGCGCCATGGGAAGCTACTGGGCGGATAGCGTACTCATGGTAAGACACTGTGTTTGTGGACGTATTTATAGTCGTTTTTCTTTAAATCTCTGCATGTGTCAGCACCGTTACGTCAATATCGATATCCATCTTTAGGAAATATTTAATAATGTTTGGGGTGCATATAGGCGTTCTCCTGAATTTGTTTCATAGACGTGCTAATTTAGTTTGAGTTTTTGCATGATGGATATTACTATTTTACAAATTCTTAGAAATAATAGTGTCAGGATGATAGTTAAATATAAAATCAGGTAGTCATTATGAACAAATTAAAAAGTTTCAAAGGGCATAGTTTATTGTGAGTCTATTCAAGGCCAGGGTGTAGTTTTGTTGAAAATCACAGAAGCTTAAGCCTCATGAAAACAACGACAGTTGTAAAGAAAATAGAAAACTTCCGTTTAACTAGTAAACAAGTATTTGTGTTTGTAAACTTGAGTTGCACGAATCAGAAACAGTGCATAACAAATAGCAAAGGAGCCCGTTGATACGTTTGAACAGCAATGTATGAAGCAATCTAACGTTAATCTTCAACAACATTTGGTTTAAGTGTGGTTCTAGTCATGGTTGCCAGTTCACACAATAACCAATAGTAACGACGAGTTTTTTTAAAAATAAACCATGATATTTGCTCGTGTCTCTAACTCTGTTGCAACAAGGATATGTTGAGTGAACGTGTTAAGAACGCAATTTCATAATTGGTTGAAGCGCCCGTAAATTATAAAATGCCAGTAAAGCCAGTATCGCATTGAAGAATGTAGACGGTCTGTTACAGTTGATTATGTAGAATTTTTAAATGCCATTCAGTGGTTTTAAAAAGCTAATACGTTTCTTTTAAAAATAACGTTCAAATATTTTTTACAAGGATTCCCGTATGGCTTTATGGAACATCGGTTTTTGTCTCAGGAACTTGGGACAATACTGGTCCAAGGGAAGTAACTCGTATCACCCTTGCCATTCCTAAACCATAACAGTGGCAATCAGTTGCGCTCCATTTTCATAATATTTACACTAATTAAACGAGACACCTACCAAAGCTAGGACAATAAAGGTCATTATAACAGTAATAACGTGTATTGTTGCTATCTGTCGCTGGCTAATTGCAAGGCCTTTCATGCGCCATATTGACAAGATTCCTTTGGCATGCATAAACATACTATTGTAATTACGTTTCCTGTCCCGGTGAGGCCTGGTGAGACTGGAAATGCCAGCGGTTGTGTTTACTATTTACTTGGTCATGTGCCTCCTTGCAGTTGACCCAACCACCTGCCAATACAGCTGACGTGAGAGAATTCTTCCTCTGGTGTCCAAACAATAACACCTGTTGGTCCCAACCCGTCACACACGGCTATACTGTATAATAGAGGACATAGTGATTGACATCGTTATACGTTAAGAATGTTTCGTTCCTTTAGGATCCTAACACGATTTAAAATCATATAAGGTGTACATTTGTTTTCGTATTTTTAATTTATCATAGAAATAGTTTGTTTGATAGGCATTGAGAAGTTGGAGTATTAAGTAATGATATGATTTATGGATAAACAACAGTTAAGAGCGACGTTTCGGTGTAGGTTCTAACACCGTTATCAAGCAAGTGCTTGATTGATAACGGACTTGCTTGATAACGGTCTTAGAACCTACACCGAAACGTCGCTCTTAACTGTAATAAAGTAGTTGTTCATCCATAAATCTTATCCTTACTTGATAGAAATCTTTTTTCCTTCTGGTGCATTCGTCCGACATACCTTAATGATTGAAAAATGAATTTATCGGCCGTGAAATATTTATAAAATGAAAAGTATTTAAAGCATTTTTTCAAACTGTCGAATAATTCAGATAGTCCTAAAGCTCCTGCCTGTCACATGATCGTGACTTTCATCGAGTCTTTCTTAAGGAAATGAAGATAAGTCGCCTCATCATAAAACATCCATATGCAAAATATTTTATTGAATTATTATTATTATTGTTGTTGTTGTTATTATTATTGTCAATTTGACATTATTCTTTTTCATTGTATTTGACATCTGTTCAAAGATATTCCTTTATCTCAAAAAAGAATTTGATATGGCCTTAAGGAGTAAAATTGATCTGGGCAAATCTATGAATATAATTGATCGAAGATAACCCATCTTTTGGTTCTTAAAAAAAGTCTTTAAGATGAAAATCAGGATGTCAATTTAAATGTAGTTTGTAATGTCCTACTATCTAATTATAATTTTTTGAGATTATTTAAACTTCAAGATAATCTGCAGGGTGTATCGAAACACATACAATCTTAATATCACATGACGAAAACTATTTATATCTAGAAACAAACAAACTTTGTAGTATGCTGCGTAAAGTCAATACCGTAAATCAAGTTCCAAAAATAGTTCCGATTTAGAATTCTAGCAACAGTCTAATGTTGTGATAGAGATTAATGCGCGTGCTGGAGCTTTCACTCTCAGGCTGAGACTAAGTCACGTTCGGGCCCCACCTTGTTACTTGATAAAAAAGAAAAGTAAATTCATTTTGATTTGATTGCGGGCAAACAAACAGTGCAGGGTCTGCGATCGCAAAGCACTAACTACAGCGACACACACGGCCGTTGTGCAAATTGTAACACGGGTGTATCTCAAAGAGACGCCCGTTGAATCATTTGTTAGTTACCATCTATATTTGAATTGTACATGTTCTTGTAAATGAGAAAGTAACTGTTTCTGTTAGTGAGTTGGGTTTTCGTCGCTTATAGCAATATTCAAGCAAAGTCACGACAGGGGACACCAAGAACGGGTTCGAACCCATGTAGGATCGAACCCGGTCGTGACTAATCAACTCTTTAGCCGCTAGGCTACCCCACCATTGCGAGTGATGTATGTAGTTTATTTGTTGTTGTTTAACGCCGCACCCAGCAATATCCGAGCTATATGACGGCGGTCTGTAAATAATCGAGGCTGGATCAGACAATCCACTGATTGACATCATAAGCATCGATCCACACAATTGGGATACGATAAAATGCCAACCAAGTCAGCGCGCCTGACCACCCGATCCCGTTACTCGGTTCTTGCGACAAGCATGGGTTGCCTGGTTGCTGAAGATAAAGTCTAACCTGGATCTTCGCGGGGTAGAGATTTATGTAGAGTTTGCTCTCCATAATATATTAAGTGTGATTCAACCCGGTCGTCGACCCACGAGCGAACGCACTAACCACTGGGCTACCAAACAGGTTAATCGTGCAAGAAATTATGCTTAGATGTGGAACCCCGAATTCCTAAACTACATCATTGAGGCTTTGGTTCGTATTGCCGAGATCAGTTATCTTATCCCTGCTCTTGTCAACCCCTATTCAAATTCGCCAGTGATCTGAGATCTTACAAGAACAGTACAAACAG